AAATAAATAGACCTCATTCTTATTCAGTATATTCTTCTTAAGTACTAAATAACAATAAACAAAGAAGAAATTTTGGCGTATTCGAGTACTCGTACATAAAAATGAAAGACGTGATCTACTAAACGGAGTAAAACGGAATCCGACGCTATCGATTGCACTGAAAGAGAAGCTTTGATATATTTGACTATCTCCCTTTTTCTTATAAACGCAAAATGAGAAAAGTGATGTAATCTCCTTGATGCACTTTCATTTACTATACAGAATTTTTATTAAATGTAGAATGTACTTTTTGTAAATTGACAATTTAAATTACACTACTTTATTACAGTATTTAAAAGAGTCTTCAACTGATTCTGTACATTTCTAAATTCATGTAGTTTGGAACATTAATTTCTTATGTATCTTTGCACACAATATTAGGTCTAGCACATACAAAATTTATTATAGAATTATGTAGTAAATTTAACATATTTCATGAAAAATTTCCATTCGCAAAAACATTTCAAATTTTATAAACTGCATATATTAAATTCATTATGGAGAAATCTTGTAGGCCTGAGAAATTAGAAGAACCATACGCTTTATTCTTATTCAGATTTTGTAGTATAATTGTCTAGTTTTTTTTTTTTGTTTATTTTTTTGTTTTTGTTTTTGTTTTTAAATAAATTAAACTTTACAATATTATCAATTTTCCAATTCTATCAGTAAATTTAGCATCGATATGAGTTGAATCGTTTCTGTACGTATTATACTTTAATGTAATAGAAAATTTCTTCATTAGTGTCTTCATTACTAGTAATGTTCATGTACGTAAGCTTTAGAAATATTGAATAGGGTATTTCACAATTGCAGCAAAAATTTGTATAATTTACAAAATATAAAGAGACTGATGCATACATTATTACTAATCATAATCATTAGCATTGCATTGATAATCGTTTTTTATCTATCGTTATATATATATATATATATATATATATATATGTTTTGTCATTGATATGAGAATCTGAATAGTATTAAGCGTAACGTATCTTTATTTCCTTACATTATTTTCATTTATATGCATTTTACTCCATTACTATCGTCGTATTAAAAAAAACTTGTACATACGCATAACGACTATATGCAGTCAACGCTCAATGGCCATAAAATGGAAATTTTGAATTATTTCTAGTTTATGTTTTAAAATATTTGTACACTTGAATAATTTTTGGACATACAGTTAATTATCATATACAAATTTTTTGTGCGGATAATTCAATATCCGTACAGTCGAATAAAGGGGGTAGAAAAAAAATTATTGAATATTCAGTTACATTTCTATATTAAGCTCTGCATGAGTAGTCCACTGATGTACGTTTGAATATTCACTTTTTTTTATGGAGTACAAGTGAGTAACTAGTAAGTAACTAGTAACTAAACTAATAAGTGAGTAAAATTGTAATTTTATCTTAAAAAAAAAAAAAAAAAACCAATTATATTTAACCATTCGGATAAATAAATGATCGGCAATAATTTTATTAAAATGTCCACAATTTCGTCGCTTTTTCTTTTCTTATTAACATAGCAAATATGCAACTACTATTAATCGAATATTTTAAAATTTATTCTTATTACTTACACATGCCCTGAATATTTCAATGCCCAAATGACGCCTCTTTTCATAGACAAATTTCATACGTACTTTAAATATGCAAAGACAAACATTCAAACAGCCTAGTCGGAGTGAAATGTCCGGAGTGAAAATCGAATCGGAAAGTCGGAGTGGAAATGAGAAATTCTTTATCACGGATTTTCAAACTCATATGGAATTCTAACTCTTAACTCTTAGATCCTACTTTTCAAAGGTTACGCGAGGTCGCGAAACGGCAGATTAAAAAAATCCTTAATTACAAGAAGATAATACCTAATGTTTAGGTAGAAAACTTTTTGAGCCTGCATAATAATACCATGAGCATTGTCATAAAATAAGGAAGAGGCTGCGTAATTTGAAATTCTAAACCACTACAACGGCGAACAGTGGAAAGAAGAAACGGATAAAAAAGATCCAATGGGCGTCCCGTAGACCACGTAATTTTTAGGTCTAAGGACCTTTTTATCCACGTAACGTATAGGTATCCGGGCGCCTCGCATTCACACGACCCTCGATCGCTCGGAGATACTCGCATCCTCGGCATCGGAGACTCGGCGCGTCGGCGGGTCGTTCCGCTCCCGATTCACTGCATGATCGTCGAGTTGGCGACCGGGGACAGTCCATTGGCTGCGAGGGCGGTAATGGGCGAGCGGTGGTGCGGGGGTGCGGTGGCGGCCGCAGCCCCGGCCCCGAGATCCGCGTGCTGGGTCTCTCGGTGGCGGCGCAGGTCGACCTTCCGCTGGAATGCCCGGCCGCAGAGCTCGCAGGCGAAGGGCTTGAAACCCGTGTGCTTGCGCGAATGGGTTATGAGGTTGCTGCTCTGGGAGAAGGCCTTGCCGCAAACTTGGCATTTGTGCGGCTTTTCACCTGGAATTAGAACGACAGCTTCCTTTAGATTTATAGGGCTTTCAACAAATAATTTGTCGCAGTCACCACTTTGAGGGAGTTGGGACGGGGGACTGGGACAACAGCTCGAATCGCATGATATCGGTGCTGAGAATGTTATAAGTTTGCGTTTGTAATTTTTCAAGCAATTTGTAAAAAAAGATTAAGGAGCTGGGACTCGATCATTTTTCAATTGCACTTTCATTGTGCACTTTCACCGATTCATTATTCTTGCGTAGTTGAACAGATAATCATAAATTTTCGACATTAATTGCAGGGATTATTTACAGGGATTCAATTGTTTAAAAGGTTTCCATTCAATGTCATGAAAATCTTGAGTCTTGTCGGCCTCGTTGAATATAAAATTTTTCGATAAAACATTCAAACTGTGTGATACATGAAAAGGTACAATCGTCCGTGCGTGCGTACGCGTGTCCGTGTGTCTGTATAATCGAATGGGTTTAGTCTGTCAATTATTTATTATTCAAAAAAACAAACAAACAAACACAAGTATAATCTTTAGATAATACGGAATTTAAAAGCAGAATATTGTCTGTAGTTGGCGAGTATATTTAAGTTGTTAAATCGATTTTTGCTATTGCACAATCGATAAATACAATAGAAATTATTGAGAAAAGCTTGAAATGTATAATTATTACTTAGATCAGATTTACAGTCACGTGTAATATGATAATGCAATAATCTCTAATGTTTAATGAACAGTGGAAGAACGGACAGACGCGTGTGTTATAAGTGAAAGAAATTTCTGTAACCTGTAAAATGAAATTAAACAAAAAAATTGTCAAGAATGGGCCTTCGAAGGAGCTGAACTTCCCCGTTAAAATCCCATGCGTCCTCTCCCCCAGATTTCCCACTTTGAAGGCAGTAGTATCCCGGCTCAGTTCCCGCAACGAATTTCGCCCGCCCTGCTTCTTACGTACGAGCTTTCTCCTCCACCTCCTCCTTCTCTTCCTCCGCCAACGCCACCGCCACCGCCACCGCCACCACCAACCCCGACCTGCTCCTCCACCATTCCGCCATCATCACCGCGCTCTCCAACTATATAAATCGGTGAAATCGATCGCATCCTCGCTACTAAGAGGTAGCCCCCAGGCGTCGCCGCTGCACCTCTATGTGCAGCGTTAATTCTAACGGAGCGACATCTCTCCCTCTCGCTCTGCGAGAGCGAGGGAAGGTGGTATCCGGGATTCGGGGCACGCCCGGTCAAGATTTCCTCCCGAGCGAGAATCTCAGTCACCCCCGCCACTGCGCCCGACGAAAGAGAGAAAGTAAAGCACCGTATCCTGATTGGCGGCCAGGGGCGGCTCCAGCCCCTTGTTACCATAGTGACGGCCTTACCCGCGAGCGAGATAGAGATAGAGAGGCGGATGTCAAGCGCCCTCTAGCCGAACCGCGATAACAAGAAAGTTGGACAGTCGCCGGAATAAAAAGAGATGAGATTCAAGGAGCGAGTGCCTTTAATGGAGTCACTTTTTATATGTACCTACATAACCTAGTCAAGGCGGCGGGATCAGCCCGAGCGCCGCCGATACGTCATTATATGGATTTTCATGAACGATCGCTCGCAGAATAGACTCGAAGCCTTTAATCTACAGTATCCACTCGCGGATATCCAATTTATCTGCTCGGGGTTGCTTATGCGACTGAAACGGTGCGTTCATAGGTGTAAGGAGAGAATATTTACTTGTGAAATTTTTACGATGTGACATTACAATGCAGAGACCACTTTCCGCGCTATTATAATTAATTTTTATAAACGCGAGTGCAAGGCTACTGTATTTATTAAAATGTCAAAACAATTAGAGTGCGTTGCAACGCCTAAATAGCATTTAAACAGCTTACTCGAATTACAAGCTTGGAAATGATAAGCTCAGAAATATATCTGATCAGCGTGTTAAAATCACACGACAAGCGTCTCGTTCCATTCAGATAATAGAGTGTAAAGAAAAAGAAATTTCCCACTCCAAATAATGAAACGATCGTCACTGATAAAAGAAATACAATATCCCTTTATGTTTGTCGGAACCCCAAGTTAAGCGAATCGCGTACAGTCCGAGCACAAGAAAAAATCAGTATATATTTCGAAAGACCTCGGTCGCTCTCGAGAAATCTATTCGTAGGAATCGCGGACGGTGCTACGATGAAATTCCGGATGAGTGGTCGTCAAGGGGCAAGGGAGCAATGCGGCGGTAGAGAGCTTGGGAATTTCGCTGGCCGTGGGAGAGACAGAGAAGAAGAAGTGGCATAAGAAGAAGAAGAAGAAGAAGAAAAGGAGGAGGAGGTGGAGCAGGGGGATCAGGATCAGGGGGAGTAAGAAGGAGGAAGAAGCGAGATAGAGCGATAGATAGATGGTGGTCGGGGTTGTTGGCGGGGGGAGGGGGTGGATTAGGGGGTTGAGAAAGAGAGAGAGAGAGAGAGAGAGAGAGAGAGAGAGTAAGATAGGAAAGGGAGAGAGCGTTCGCAGGAATTTACGGGCTCGTAAAAATCAAGAAGCGTCCGTCGGGTGCGCTCGAGCACGGCAGAGCTTGCCATCCTCGTCTTTATCTTCCTGTAGTCTGTTCACGTTGTTGGGCTGCACGTTTACGCGCTATTCTACTTACGAGAGGGAACGCACCCGCTATTCGTCGAGCTGCACATGCGCTAGAGAGAAAGAAAGAGGCAGGGACAGAGAGCCTGACTGCTGCAGACGCGACTTTCTTCCTCCCGAGCGATCTTTTCCTTCTTATTTCCTTTTATTTGCGTACGCTTTACCGAAAGGATTAGGCATGATTAATGATCATGAGGACGATTCCTTATCGAAAATCGAGGGACTATGAATGTGCCGCTGGTTATTTTTGGGGAAGCAACTTTTACATACATTGCAACAGGGAACTAAATTCGAGGACGGGGACGTTAGAAAATTTCGATTCTGTAATGAAGAATTCATTACAATGTCCAATAGTTTCAGCAAACTTCCAGTATCATACGAATGCTTAAAAGCTTTCATTAATTAAATTATAATATAAAATTATTAGGTTGCACGATATGATTTGCTAGCTATAAAATAAAGATACTCTGTTGAATTATGAAATTATTAAATTTTTTTAATTGCTCAGCTTAATATGTATTTGAATTTCATTGTAAAAATTTTTATTATATTTACTTTGTAAAAATTTATAACCAAAAGAACAAAAATAATATAAATAACTAAAAATCACTAAAATAATGTATAGATAAAATTTCATAAAGACAGTTATTTATGGCAACTTAAATAAATAATTTTTATTTGTATTTTTCAAATAGTTTCAAGTAGTTATTTATTTCCATCATATCTTGAACTTGATATGCATTGTTACACACACGCACAAACACACACACACACACACACACACACACACATATATATATATATATATATATATATCAGATTGTATTGTTCATTCTGTTTTAATGAATATTTCAACTCTCACGACCTAAAGTTTCTCATTATAATAAATTACAAAATTTATAAAATCTTTTAACGTCAAAGATTGTTTTCTATTATAGTTATATATGTTTCAAGTTCGACAGTCTTATAATACTTAATAAAGTACTCGATACAGCTTATTACAGATAAATATTTCTACATTTTGCTATTCTATTCGAATAAGAAATTGAATTTATGATTATTCTTTTCGCAATAGCATCGCAATTTATTAAATTGCAGATAGAAAATATGTATTGATTTAATCAAATTGTGTAATAAAAAAACTTGTATATTTTCTATCAGAATAATAACATGAAATTGCTGGAAATGAATGCCCATGACGAATAAAATCTTCCCATATGAATATAGCAGTAGATGGCAGTTAGATGGCAGTAAGATGGCAGTTTCTTATATGTTATTTTTTATAATATTTTACGTGATGTTGATATAGTTGTATATAGTTTTTGTGCACAAACTATTGTTAACGAGAATATTAAATTTGAATATAGAAGGCGATCGTGTGATTTATGATAAGAAATAATACAAATAATAATACAAATACAAAGCGTAAATTAAATTAAAATCTTCAATGCAATTTTATTAATGTAATTGTCAAGGATTCGATTTTTCAATATTATGTATAACGCTTTAATGATAACCAAACTACAATTTTTTTTATATAAATAATAATAATTGAAAAGTTCCTATTCAATATTTTATAATTAAGATTGATGTAATTTCTACGTTTTTGCCAAATGGATATTACGAAATGCATGTTTAATAAATATTCAACTTAGATTTCCTAATTTACATAGATAACAAGTAAAGCTGTAATTTATACGTTAATGCCACTCGATTCATATTTCAAAAAGTAATAAATGAGAATACATATGATCCGTAAATATAATTGCAATACATTTGAATAATATAATGCAAGGCAATTTTATTTCCAAATTTACAATACTATAAATAATATCAATCCATATTTATTATTATTTATTATTAATTCATAATTCAAAAAGTTAAAAAAAACTACTTTCTCAATTGAATTCACAATCATACATAAAAGAAAGTCATGATTTAAGAATACCATAATAATAATAATAATAATAATAATAGTAATAATTTATTATTGTCTCGTAGAGAAAAAATGCGTAAGAGATTGGAATTGTAACAAATAAAAAAAATCTTACCGCATCAAAAGTAGTAAAAAAAAAAAAAAAAGGAAAGAAAAAAACAGCCGCCTTGGCGCTTACTCGCGCCAACTTTTAACATTCTCCAACCATTGGAAAAGCGATCAAAGTACTATCTCAGCTCTTATTCTTTCTCTCTGCCCGCATAAAATGCTTTTCAAGTTTTTACTAAACGAGAGTAGCCAAAAAGTAACGAAAAAAAGGAGAAAACGAGAAAAAGAGAGGGCCTTTAAGATTTGCCGTAGTTTAATATGGTTTTAGGGGGCGATGGCGTCGAGGATGGAAACCAACTTCAAGAAGGGGCTTCTTGTAATGGCGTCTTA